AGAGACAGGCGACCAGAGCCAGGGGGAGCTGTGAGGCCCAGGCGAAGCCCCTGCCGTGGCCGTCTCCGTTCCTCCGCGAGTCCTGGGACTCGGGCCGGCCCCGGCCACTCTGCCCCGACCGGGCGGGCTTGGGAGGCGAGGGCCGCAGTTGAGTACTCATGACGGCCCCCTTTGTGCCACCTTCCCGCGCGGCTCCTACACTGTTTCGGTAGGTGCTCCTTGAAGGTTAACATTCGCTGAAGGAATTGAGGGGAGGAGAGCTTCGTGTTGAAGTTGAGCCTTGGGCTCAACAGGTGCTGTGGGAGGATGAGCGGGTGTGGGTCCCAGCTCGACCCTTCACACTGGATGCTTGACTTCTCCAAGCCTCGGTTTCCTCATCTGTGATAGGAAGGTCCCGATTCCCAATTGACAGGACAATTGGGCTGCGGCTGCTGCTCAGGGGAGGTCTTGGCAGGGGCAGGATTTACTTGGAATGATTGGCGTTGCCTGAGGGCTGTCGCTCTCGGAGGAAACTCCAAAACGGGTTCTAAACGGGTTCCGAAGCAGCTCCTGAAGAAAGTGTGTGTTGAAGAGGCGAGATGAAGCGGACGCTTGGTGCATGGCAGCGGGGTGTGATGCGGGAGCGTGGCCATGGCAGGGTCAGAGAATGGCTGTAGGAGACACCGACCTCTCTTGGAAACTCCCGGGTCGGAATTTCGTCTCGGAAATTTCCCGGAAATTCCTCTGGGCCTCAGTCTTTCAATCGCTGCCTATGAAACCTTCCTCTGAGCAGAGATGCTCTCACTTCAGAGCAGAGAAAGCTCTGCACTTAAACAGTCTCCGATGTTGTGCTGCTTTGATCATTCTGTAGTGCACAGTGTTTTCTTGACAGAGTGCGTGAGGAGTGAAGTGTTTTAGGTTTTCCTTAACACTGAACTTGATAAGTAGCTTAAAACCTGAGAGGTGTTCTTATTGCCAAATGGCAGAGATTCCTGTCTCCTCTCACCCCTCCCAAATGTCTATGCGGCCTCCTTACACCCAGCCTCTCTTCCTCCACATAGACTGCCAGGTGCCACCCCTGTGCCTTTACTTGTGCAGCGGGCAGAGCTGGGCCATGAAAGCTGTCACTAGCCCACCAGTGGGACTTGGGAGACTTCCTCTCTGCGCAGTCTAGGTCTCAGCATTTTTCATTTTTGACTTGGGTGAGTGGAGAGGTAGGAATCTGGAGAGCTGATTCTAGTTTTCTGATGGTTCATTCATTCAAAGGCTCCCTTGGTGGAGCTTGCACTTCCCCTCCATTCACTATGTAGAGGCCAGATTTACATAGAGTACATCTGGCTTTACTTTTAAGAGGTTTTCTCTTTCTTCTCACTAAACAACATAACCCAGTAATAAGAAGGGGATTTGCCCTCCTCTCAGATCTGTGAGACCGTCTTTGTATTTGAATCTTGGTTCTGCCATTTACTAGCTGGGTGGGGGTAAGTGACTTATTCCCTTTCTGCCTCTCCCTCGTCTGTACTGACCTGCACTTTGTTACATCTGTATTTGAAGATGGTTTTTCTATTCTTGTTTGACAAATTTAGCAGCTTAAACCAGTACCCATTTATTATCTCATAGTTATGTAGTCTGAAGTCCAGGCAGGCCTGGCTGCGCATCACAAGGCTGGAATCAAGGTGTTGGCAGCTTTGCTCTTACCTGGAAGCTCTAGGGAAGGAAGAAGCTGCTTCCAGGCTTATTTAGGTTGCTGGCAGAATCCAGTTGCTTGGAGTTGTAGAACTAAGGTCTCTGTTTCCTTGCTGGCTGGGGACGGCTCTGTAACTTAAGGTCCACTAACTTAGGACTCTAATTGTATCTGCAGAATGCCTTCACAGCAGTACCCAGATGAGTATTTGACTGAAGAACCAGGGGACAGGAATCTTGGGCGGCTATCTTTAGAATTCTGCCTACCACTGAGGATGAAATGAGGAACTATATGGAGAGTTCTTAGAGCTCTCCTGCTCCTTAGAGCAGAGTATGTCCTGGCATACAGCAAGTGCTGTACAAGCATTACCAAGGATTCACCACCACAAACTTGGCACTGAAGCTGGTCACTGTGGACTACATGAGAATGGTGTTTCTATAAAACATGGGAACTGCTAGTCAGGCACAGTGACTCATGCCTGCAATCCTAGCACTTTGGGAGGCTGAGGCGGGAGGATTGTTTGAGCCTAGGAGTTCGAGACCAGCCTAGGGAACACAGCAACACCTCATCTCTATACACACACACACACATTAGCTGGGCATGGTGGCATGCACTTGTAGTCCCAGCTACTAAGGAGGCTGAGGTGGGAGAATCGCTTCAGCCCAGGTTGAGGCTGCAGTGAGCCATGATCATGCCATTGCATTGCAGCTACTTGGGAGGCTGAGGCAGGAAGATCACATGAGCCCAGGAGTTTGAGGCTGCAGTGAGCTGAGATCATGCCACTGCATTCTAGACTGGGTAACAGAGCAAGACTCTGTCTCTAAAAAAATAAAAAATAAAAAATACATGGGAATTGGCAGTGTAGTGTGTGTGTTGAGTTACACAAATGTTTTCCTGGGCATTGTGAAACTATGTAATATTCTGTTAGGGATAAGTACAGTGGCTTACACCAGTACTCCCAGCACTTTGGGAGGCTGAGGTGGGAGGATTGCCTGAGGCCAGAATTCTAAACCAGACTGGGCAACATAGTGAGACCCCATCTCTACAAAAACAAGAAAAGTTGCCGGGTGTGTTGGTTTACACTTGTAGTCCTAGCTGCTCAGGAGGCTGAGGTGGGAGGATCGCTTGAGCCCAGGAGTCTGAGGTTACAGTGAGCTATGATTGTGCCGCCGCACTCTAGCCTGGGTGACAGAGTGAGACCTTGTCTCTGAAAAATAAAATGATTCTGTTGTGTTGTAGATGTTGAGATTTCGTCTTTGTTTTTCCACAGTGGCCACTTTTGCCTTTCCACTGGAGGCTGCTACAGCGTTTCCTCACCTGCAGCAGCCCAGCTTTCTACTGGTAAATATCAGCTGCCCGTGTGAGTGTCAGTGTGGCCGTACTTCTATAGCTGAGGGACTTGACTGTTGTTTCTACTGACTTGAAGCTCTCCAGCGGTGTTTTTTTAGGGGCATGTGATGGAAATAACACCAGACTCAGGGTTATACTCCTTCAGCTTGACTTTACCTCCTTATTATTGAAGGACCTTGGATTTACTCAACCTCAAGCTCTGGTTTTCTCATACAAGACTAGTTCATTCAAATGTTATTTTCCTTCCTTCCCAAGGGTATGAGGAGAAGAGACCCTTATGAAACCATCAGATCTTGTGAGAACTCACTCACTATTATGAGAACAGTTAATTCAGACTTTATTGAGCTAAAATGTGCAAAAACTCTGATAAGACTGAAGCTTCTTCAATTCACTGTATATAGGCTGATATCATCTTAACACAAAATGCCTCTTGTTAAGATTCAAAATAGTGTTTAATTATCTGAGTTCAGTCCATACTGTAAAAGTAAAACTAAAACTTTTCTGATTATTATGACTTGAAATTCATTCCATTAAAAAAAAGTATAGCCAACATTCATTAGAAAAATTAGAAGTCCCTGTGAAAATTACACTAAAAGACACAATTCTAAATTAAAATAAAATTTTCTGTAAAAAATGCACATTAATGTTTAAGTTATTCAGGTTGAGTTAATATTTCAATATTCATTACTTATTCCAGCAGCTTCTAAGTGGAAGTAGTATTTAGGCAATTAAATTGGCATATACTTTCAGGAATTTTCTTTCATTTTTAAGTTTTGTCATCATTGAGGTTAATTTTTTTTACCTGGTGTTCACTTATGATATATATATAAACAGTCTGTGAAGTGAAATAGTCTTAAGTATAACGTGTGATGCACCTACAAATAAATGAAAATGGTGTGCACCATGTCACTTTACTATGGGAACTGTACTGGAAGATTTATGAAAGCATGTGAAATTATACCTAAAATTGTGTTATTAGTGACTACAAGCAGCGGTGCTAAATTTTTTTATTGAACTTGATGAATGAATGCATTTAGTCTAGTCACAGTTACTTTGGTTTAAATGCATGTGTCTTTAAGGTTTGTATTAGTTTTTGCACTGCTATGGAGACCCCAGACTGGGTAATTTATAAGGTGATTTAATTGACTCACAGTTCCACGGGGCTGGGGAGGCCTCAGGAAACTTAGTCATGGCCGAAGAAGAAGAGGCACATCTTACATGGTGGCAGATGAGAGAGAATGAATGAGCTAAGGCAGAAGAGACCCTTATGAAACCATCAGATCTTGTGAGAACTCACTCACTATTATGAGAACAGTATGGGGGAAACACCCCCATAATCTAATCCCCTCCCACCAGGTCCCGCTCTAAACACATGGGGATTATATGGATTACAACTGGAGATGAGATCTGGGTGAGGACAGAGCCAAACCATATCAGGGTTTTATTTTTTATTATTATTTTTTGAGACAAGAGTCTCACTCTGTTTCCCAGGCTGGAGTGCAGTGGCACGATCTCGGCTCACTGCAAGCTCCGCCTCCTGGGTTCACGCCATTCTCCTGCCTCAGTCTCCCGAGTAGCTGGGACTACAGGTGCCCGCCACCACGTCCGGCTAATTTTTTGTATTTTTAGTAGAGATGGGGTTTCACCGTGTTAGCCAGGATGGTCTTGATCTCCTGACCTCGTGATCCACCTGCCTCGGCCTACCAAAATGCTGGGATTACAGGCTTGAGCCATTGTGCCCGGCCCATATCAGGGTTTTTAAAAATGTGTTTGTAATTTGTACTCTTGGCAGGGTATTCTTGGGCTGCAGGGGTTGTTGTCAATGTGTGATTTGTGTTTTTATTTTATAGAATAATGTGATGTACTGATTTTTATAAGTGATAGATAATTCTAATAACTGTATATTTGACAACCTTGTATTAAAATATTTTGCACTGGAACTTCTTTCATTAATTGTAACATGCTAACAAACTGATAGTGGTTTAAAAATAACTCATTTAACAACAACAACAACAAGGAAAAAAGGTAAAAGTAAACATTTTATGGAACTTTCGTCTATCCGAAAAGATTCTGTGCACGATTTTACCTCAGTGTTAGTGACTAGTCTATATTTTTTGCGGCGGTGGGTTGGATTGAGGAATAACCATATGCTACTGGGTACCGGGAACAAAAAAAAATACAAAACTGACTTGGATAAG